TAGCGCGTTGTGACAAACACCAGATACAGCACTGGGACTTGATCAACAGCCGATACCGCACCGTGACAATGTCACTAACCAGTAGGTGGCAGTAGTGTTCTTTGACAAACATGGATGCCTCCAGTAAAGCACATTCACATGAAAATTACTCTGAATTATGAACACTCATTTATGGAACAGGATGGAATAATTTCATATTTAAAGGACTTTCAGAAAACTTTTCCTTTAAAATAAAGCTGATATACCAGTTATTTAGTGTTTGATAAAGACAATATTTCCTCTTTGTGTCCAATGGTAACAATGGCATAGATCTGTCTATTTCAATCTCAAGCGGTAAATGACCTGAGCAATTTATGTCTAGAAACTCTTGGTGGAAAACCTTTTTTTACGATAATACCAGGGGAGGCTTTAGAAGAACCACATTCGGGTCATGGAGAGACTAGGCCAGTCGTCCCATCCTTCATCCTGTACAACTCTGGAGGAAGCTGAAGCTCTGAGTTAACCGGCAACAATTGAGCAACATTTATAAAAGCACCCGACCACAGAATTCCTTTGTACAGATATTTGCCCACTCTGAGAGTCTGTCTTGGTGTCGGTGAGCCCAACTAGGATCCAAGGCTTTACCTCTTGGTTCTTGAAAACTCCCAGGCTTAACGTTAGAATATCACCAAATTCTCCAGTAGCAGATAAAAGTCGCTAGATTTTGTGCTAGGCGCTCTTTAAAATAAATGCACCAGAGGGCTCTGAAATTGCACTAGATTTTGCAACACAGTTTGTTTTCAAATGGTTTGCTGCTGTCTGTTTTGTGCAGCAAATGGACTGATCCAATATGGTGGACACTGAAGGGGGGGGGCTGAGAAACACTTAATGTTATAAGCGTTCTGATGGCCTATTAGAGAAAAGATTTCTATCAAAAACATAATTAATATGCACAAATAAGGAATGGCTGTAGAGTTTAGGGTCCTCAGGAACTTGGGGCCTTAAGCAACTGCCTAGCTTTGCCCAATGGTAAATCCCCCCCTGGCTACACATAACCACCGCTGCCCTGGGGCACGCTGACCGATGTTGAGCTGCCATAAATGGTAAATGGCATGTACTTATATAGCGCCTTTATTCAAGTCAGGAGACTTAACCAAAGCGCTTTATACTACATTCATTCACCCATTCAAGCACACAGTCACACACCGATGGTGGCAAGCTACATTGTAGCTACAGTTGCCCTGGGGCAAGCTGACCAATGTTAAGCTGCCATAAATGGTAAATGGCATGTACTTATATAGCGCCTTTATCCAAGTCAGGAGACTTGACCGAAGCGCTTTACACACATTATTTCACCCATTCAGACACACTGATGGCGGCAAGCTACATTGTAGCCACAGCTGACTGGGGCTCACTGACAGAAGCGGGGCTGCCTTACACTGGCGCCACCGGGCCCTCTGACCACCATCAGTAGGTTAAGTGTCTTGCCCAAGGACACGATGGCACTGAAAGTCGTAGTCTGGGCTTGAACTGTCGATCCTTCGATTTCAGGGCAAACTCTTACATCCAACGCCACTGTTGCCCACATTATGGTGCCATACACAGGCGCCATTGGGCCCTCTGACTACGGTAGTAGGACAGACGGGGGTTTAGTGCCTTGCCTTGCTTAAAGAGGCAACCCAGCATTTGTGGAACAAAACCCCCTCCTTCTGAGACACAGTCGCCAGATTTAAGTCCAATGTCTGAATCCCCCCCATAAAGCACAAAGTATTTTGTTAAAAACGGGCAATTAGCTGAATTGTATTTATTACTCTTATCAATAGAAGAAATGCATTATTATATGGTAGTCAGAGAGTCAGACGCATTAAACCTGGATGGATGATTTGATTAGGCAGCTGCAGCCCTTAATGCGTTTGCTGCTCTGAAAGGAAAAAAAAAGAAAATGGTGAGATCATTCATAACCTTCTCTTTAGTAAAGCTAGCTAAGAGATGTTTATGCTTCCATCAGAGATGTTTGAAAATGGCTGCTATAAATAGAAGCTGTCAGGTAATACGTCCCGTCAGTGATCCTAATTGGCTTCCGTACGGAGGTCAGGATGGGTTTCAAACCATCCAACGCAGTGTGGATTTCACTGCTCCAGGGCAGCCGGATCCAACAAATTGAGCTTTAGCGTTTGGCATTAAACGATCTGAAGTGAGCCGCTGTTTATCCAGAGACCGAGTGACTCGGAAACGGTGAACAGAGAGAGAATAAGGTGGGCTTTCTGCTGCTTTCTCTGCCCCCCCCCAGCACATTGGTTGCTCTGTCCTCAGCCTCGCCAGAGCGGACATTTATTTTTACGATATTTAAACAAACATAACAAAAATAAATCAATGCGAAACCTCGAAACCTGACCAAAGTGTGTTTAGGAGCCCCTCTGCCCTGTCAGCGAGGGGGGGGGAGGACCACCAATTTCTCCCGGTCAATATTTGAGGAGCTAATTTGGAGAGTTTGTTCTCTCCTTTGCAGGGAAAAAAGAGGGGATTTAGTGAACAGCGAGTGTTTTTCTATCAGTCGTGCTTTTGCATAATGTGGCAGGAGCAGAGCCGCCGCCTTATCTGTCGCCTCGCCGCCTGGGGTCGGCTCTGCCAATAATACTGCTTTGATTAGAGGCTTATCGCAGCGCCGGGACGGACATGTGACCCCTGCTGCAGAACCATAAATCTGACTCCACTCAAAGGGCCCCGACAGCTGGAGTCACGACCCCGATTCAAACACCAGGCAGCAAATAAAAAGATCTAAATGGACAAAAGAATAAAGTAAAATTCAGGAAAAATAATCCTGCATATGTTCATGCTCCATGCCCCGATGGAAAATTAAATAAACAACCAATTATAGCAAAACAAGAAAGAAAATCTTCCACCTCAGAAAATAACATCAAAGATTTTCTTTCCTTAAATAAAAACCAACCAATTCAAACAAACAAAGAGGAAATGTATCAAAAATTTTAGAAAGTTTTCTCATTTCGGCATAATTAAAAATAAACAAAAAAGAAAGTGTGTGAAGTTAATTTAAAAATGCACGTTTGTAATCAAATAATGAAACATTATTTGCTCATTTGTAATCAAATAAAATAAAAATTTAATTAGAATTTTAGTGGAAAACAATTAAAAGGAATTGAAAGAAGTTTTAAAAACAGGCTTTTAGTTTATTCACCTTCAAATTATTTATTTCAGAAATAATTAATCCATATTATTAAAAATGAAAACATGTAAACATTCCTTCTCCTCTAGAGACAAAAACCTAATTTTTAAGCAACATTTCTTAAGTTTTTGCTTCGAATATCAACTTTATTTTACTCAGATCATTTAAAACAACCTAAAATGTTTCATTTTTG